GATATTCTACGTTCACTCACAAACGTAAATATCTCTCATATTTATCAATTGAAGCATGTACTCCATCTCAACTAAAAGCCTAAGCTGATAGTTGAATACACAATAATGGATATATGCTCACACGTGTACGGTGGATTCCAACCATCATAGTCGCAATCGCTTATGAGTGGCGTTGAGATTCAAACCCATGACCTTTGGTCTGGCTCTGATACCAAATTGAAGCATGTGCTCCATCTCAACTAAAAGCCTAAGCTGATAGTTGGATACACAATAATGGATATATGCTCACATTATCGTGCATGTTCTATGTCTGTACGTCACGAGTGACATACTAGTATACTACTCTTCCTTCTTTCATTGTCAATGAATTATACTATGATTTGAATTAATGAAGTTTCTTTCTTTCTTTCTCAAAAATATAAATAAATAAATAAATAAATAAATAAATAAATAAATAAATAAATAAATAAATAAACAGCAGCCCTCGTTTTGGAGAGGACAAATAAAATTTGAAATTGTGCGTTGAATAAGTCAGACATATCACGTGTCTCTGCCTGGCTTGTCACTATGATGTATATATACAGAGTATTCTATTTTCTTTGATTTTATTTGTTTGAAAATTTTCATGTAAAAACAAAAACATCGCGTTTTCCATTCTTTACAGCACGACAAGGATAATGATGGTCATGTACAGTACTATAACAAATAATAATTTGATGAACTCAAATACTTAATTACTAATGGATGGAGTGTTGTTGCATTTTAGACTTTTTTTTTTTTTTTTTTTTTTTTTTTTAGTGGTGAGCTGAGGTTTAAGTCTTATTATAGATATATAATTTGGAGTTGGACTCTTAAATTCATGACTTAGGTTGGGTTATTTGTGTATAGAAACATACAATCAAGTATGAGTCTCGAAGTTGGATAAGCTCGACTTTTCTCTTTATAGACTTAGAAGCGAATTCATGAGATTTAAGATATAGTCTAATGAAATTAAAAAAAAAAATTGTTATCATAAAAAGAAAAAAAAATCTTCGTGAAATGGTTTTAAGAATGGTCTCACGTAATTTATAATTTTTTATTTTAATTAATTTTTAAATTAAAAAATAAAATTACTTGTGACTTAGATGTAACTTATTAATTAAGTTAATTGCATAAAAGTGAAAAGATGAAGATCTAATTAGAGCTTTAATTTTATTAATTTAAAGGATTAATTTCACTTTGACATATATTTGAAGGGTCTATTTGACCCTTATCCATTTTTATAAACACATATTTACTTACTTTTTTTTTTTTGATGAAATATTTACTTACTTTCAAAATGTACATTTACTCTACAATGACGTTAAATTGTCAGTGCTACTATAATTAATTTTGACTTTGGTTTACAAGTCAACAATTGGGGATGATAATTTCAACCTCTTCCGCGAATATCCACTTGAATCCGCCCTTACATGGGTCGAGTTTTTTTTGGTAGTAATGGATAATGAGTCGGGTTGAATTTGGGTTCTATGTATGTACCATTCGAATTGTGAACATTCAGTATGTAAATTGTGTAACTTTTTATCTGGATTCATCATGCTAGGTGGACCTGAGTCCATGATATAAATATTGGTGTGAGTGTGTGTATTATAATAAATTAAGTACTAGTACGTAGTTGTTTATAAAAATTTATATAACTTTGTATAATTTTGTACTATTTTTATATCTAAACTAATAAGTTTATTTTAAAAATTAACAATTTAGTTATTATCAATGTTGAAAAAATCGCTAGGCGCCCTCTAGGCGTCTGGGGACCGCCTAGGGCGCCTAGGCGGGCGCCTAGAACGCCTAGGCGGGCGCCTAGTGCGCCTAGCCGGGCGCCTAGGCTGCCTAGCACCTAGAGGCGCGATTTTTGCAACAGTGGTTATTATATTTAAGAGTGTTGCAAAATCCCGCATAGGCGGCGCCTGGCCGCATCGAGGAACGCCAAAATCGGCCACCTTTGCGGCCGAACTCCTTTTTATTTTATTTTTATTTTTTATTTTTTGGCGAATAACCCCTAAAAAAATAAAAATAAATAAATAATCGGGCGCCTAACGTCTTTTTCAACACTGATATTTAAATATTTTTATTATTTTATGTTTTAGTATAAGTAGTGAATTTTATTATTTTATTATGTGTAAGTAATTTAAATATTTAAAAAAAAAAAAAAAGATGATAAGTGGTGGGTACTCGTAATAGGCACCAACACCCGGTAAAGTGGATTACGTTTTGAAAAAAAATCCATCCAACACTAGTTGGGGTTGGGGGTGGGTAAAGAAAATATAAGGTGGGTTGGGTGATGGATATACTTAGGGATGGCAACGGGGCGGGGCGGGGGCGGGGAGTATACTCCCTGTCCCCGTCCCCGTCCCCATCCCTGGCGGGGAATTAAAAATAGTCCCCATCCCCGTTCCCGCGGGGAATTTGGCGGGGAACAGTTCGAGAGATTGTGGACATGGTGTCCAGTAAGAAGCCCGATTTTGTATTTCTAATGGAAACCATAGTTTGCCAGGATCATGGAGCGGCTCCGGGTGAAACTTGGTTTCGATGGTGTGTTTAAAGTTGATAGTGTAGGAACAAAAGGAGGATTGGCATTACTGTGGAGAACGAATGGTACGACAAGCCTGTTGAGTTACTCTAAAAATCATGTGGATATTGAGGTAACAATGCCGGGGTTTGATAAGTGGAGGATGACAGGGTATTACGGTTATGCGCAAAGGGAAAGACGGAATGACTCTTGGGAATTCATCAAGTCCTTATCGCATCGCTCTGAGTTGTCATGGGTTATTATAGGGGATTTTAATGATCTCTTATATTAGTATGAGAAGCGAGGGGGGAATCCCCATCCAGAGACACTATTACGTGGCTTCGGGGAAACTATTGATGAGTGTGGGCTAGCTCAATTACCTATGTAGGGGTACCCGTTTACCTGGGAAAGAGGGGAGGGGACTGTAGACTGGATTGAGGAGAGATTGGATAAGGTGCTGGTCACGCAGGAATGGCGAGATGTGGTGAGAGAGGCAAGTGTCTTAAACATCCTAACCCGATGCTCAGATCATTCTTCTCTTTTCCTTGGGATTCTGAATCTTCGGGAAAGGACAGGTGGTGGGAGAAAAGGGTTCCGTTTTGAGATGGCCTGGCTTCATGATGAAGGCTGTAGGGGAGTGGTTGAGACGACATGGATTGAAGGAAGAGATAGAGGTTTACAAGCCTGTATTGAGTTATGTGGTAATAAATTATCACGATGGGGAGGTGATAAATTTCATAGATTTGATGAGAAATTGAGGTGCCTACGCAAGGAACAGTTCCGGCTACGGGGATGCACAGACCAAAATTCGTTGGATGAATATCAGCGATTGGAGGAACGCCTGGACCAATTAGAAGCTCAGGAGGATGCTTTCTGGAGACAGAGGGCGAAACAACACTGGCTGAAGGGGGCAGACGCGAATACAAAATTCTATCACAGGTATGCCTCTCACCGTAAAAAGAAAAACACAATTTCTAAAATTATGAATGATGATGGGGATTGGGTGGAGGGAGATGCCATGAGAACGACTGTTTTTGATTATTATCGGAATATTTTCTCGTCAAACCAGTCCCAGATGGATGAAAATTTTTATGCCAATGTCTTGCCCCGGGTGTCACATACACAGAACGAAGCCTTATTGCGCCCCTTTGAAAAGGATGAGGTAAAAACGGCCATATTTGCTATGTTTCCAGATAAGGCGCCCGGCCCGGATGGAATGAATCCGGGTTTTTATCAACAATTCTGGGATGTGGTGGGAGGGGATGTGTCGGATTTTATTGTGAACTGTTTGAATACACGGACCTTTCCAGCCAACTTAAATGATACTGATGTGGTTCTAATACCGAAGAAGAAAAATCCAGAACGGGTCTCGGATCTCAGGCCTATAGCGCTAAGCAATGTGATATATAGAGTCATGGCTAAGATGATTTCAGCCAGGATGAAACCACTCATGGATGATATTATTTCTGATACACAGAGTGCATTCATACCTGACAGATTGATTACAGATAACATTTTGATTGCTGTAGAGGTTGGCCACTTTTTGAATAGAAAACAATGTGGAAAGATGGGATGGGGTGCTTTAAAGCTGGATATGGCAAAAGCATATCACCGTATAGAATGGCCCTTCCTGCGAAACATCTTAACAACCTTGGGTTTTAATAATATATGGGTGGATCTTATCATGTTATGTGTGACTACTGTGTCTTATAATATCAAATTGAATGGAACCCGAGGTTTGCCAATCATCCCGTCTCGTGGACTCAGGCAAGGATACCCGTTGTCCCCATATCTGTTTATTATCTGTGCGGAGGGACTCTCTTTGTTGTTACAACAGGCACAGGTTCAGGGAGCAATTCATGGGTGCAGAGTTGCAAGGGGTGCACCCTCTATTTCACATTTATTCTTTGCTGATGACAGCTTATTATTCTTTAAAGCAAATGTGCAGGAAGCAAATGCAATAAAGCAGTGTTTGACACGATATGAAAATTTATCTGGCCAAGTGGTAAATTATCATAAGTCCAGCATATGCTACAGTAAGAATACACAGGATGATGATAGGGATGATGTGGCGCAGATACTTGGGGTTACTCAAGCACCAAACTTTGGGAAATATTTGGGACTCCCCTCATTTGTAGGAAGAAATAAGAAGGCAGCTTTTTTGTATATTGAAGATATGATAAGGCAGAGAATCCTTTCTTGGAATAAGAAGTTGTTATCGCAAGCTGAAGGAAGTCTTGTTGAAAAGTGTGGCCCAGGCAATGCCCACTTTCTCAATGAGTGTCTTTTTATTACCTATGGGGATTTGCACAGCTATTGAGCGAACCATGAACCGGTATTGGTGGGGTCTGGGAATGAACGTGGAATCCATTGGAAGGCTTGGGACAAATTATGTATACCAAAAAAGTATGGTGGCCTGGGTTTCAAAGAACTGCATGCATTTAATATAGCGATGCTGGGTAAACAGGCGTGGCGGTTTCTAACAAAGCCTGACTCATTGGTCTCACACAGAGCGAGATATTACCCAAAAGGAACCTTTTATGATGCCAAGGTAGGAAATAATCTCAGTTTCTGTTGGCGCAGTATAATGGCAGCTCAGAACATGATTTGTAGTGGAACCAGGCGCAGAATTGGAAATGGAAAGACAACCCTCATCTGGGATCACCCATGGTTGCAGGATGAACAAGGCCCAATGATTCATACTGATAAGCCTCCATATTTAAATAATGCAGCAGTGGTGGGATTAATTGATCATAACACACAGACCTGGGATGCGGATATATTGGCAGATATTTTTAATCCTACGGATGTGACTAGGATAAAAAAGATCCCAGTATCACCGGATTATGAAGCTATGTGGTATTGGCATGATGATCAGGGAGGTAATTATACTGTTAAGAGTGGCTACAAAACAATTGTGGGTAATCTCAATGATAATACAGGCACTCATAATTTGTTGCGCCTATGGAAGTTAAAAGTCCCCCCAAATGGAAAACATTCTTATGGAAGGCTTTGAGTGGTATCCTCCCTACTACAACAAACTTGATTATAAAGAGAGTGGAAGTACAACCAACATGTGCTATGTGTGGGATAATGGATGAAGACACAATGCATGCTTTAGTAACATGTGGTTATGCAAGTTCCATTTGGGCTCAATCTCACCTTCCGATCCCCATGATAGCAATAAATATTTTTCATACTTGGTTTAGTGATCTATTAAATATTTTGGACACTAACCAAATTGTTCACGCAGCTGCAATTTTATACTATATTTGGAGAGCCAGAAACGGAGCGGTATGGGATGCATGTCTACCGCGACCACAAAAAGTGTTAGCCTTGGCCGAGGCCACCACACTTGCATGACAAAGGGTCCACCCCACCCACCGCCAAACGAACCACCAGGCTGCCGCACAATGCCCTACTACCGCCACTGCCGTGGCACGGCAGCAGCAGCAGCATATCACGGCCGGTGTTGTGACTGCCAAGGGGGCTGCCGAAGAGGACACACGGGTGGAGTCTACCGAGCCGAGACGGAAATGTTATGTCGATGCCGGATTCATGGCTGCTACAGGAAAGGCTACGGTTGGCGCGGTTTTGTTCAACGAGGAAGGGGGATATGTATCAGCATTCAGTGCACCCTTATCAGATTGTCTCTCCCCGCTTATGGCTGAGGCAATAGCATGCAAGGAAGGCTTGTCTTGGTTATGGAATCGTGGGGAACGCTCGGTACGCTTACTCACAGATTGTTTGACCCTACAACAATATTTGACAAATCAAGTTGTCACAGTTCGGACTTACGTTGGCTATGCCATTGATGCTTGTAGAGCACGCATTATTTCTTTCGATTACTGCACAGTTGATTTTATTCCTAGATCAGAGAGCTATTTAGCACATAGTTTAGCGGCTTCTGCATTTAATTCTTCTACAATTATGTATTCGGACGATGTCCCTCCAGACTCTTTTTGTGAGTACTTTTAATATATGCCTTATTGGCCACCTTTCAAAAAAAAAATTCGTTCAAACAAAGAAACGTGATAGATTGGGAATCTAAGTCGATCTTAATTAAAGATTTGGTTAGTAATCAGTTAAAAATGTTACGAAGATTTCACTGTCGGATGTAACATTCACCTTACACATTTTTACGTCCAGATTCATTGAATCAAATCCCGTCCTCGTTCATCCCGGAAATTACCAAATTGACCAGATTAACGCTGTTCATTACGCGCCGCAAATGGCCACATTTTCGTAAATTCGCTATTATTTTCACGTTCAATATAATCACGGAAGATGAAGACAACAATCTTCAACAGACACCGCCGGAGCAAAATCACGTGCAAAGCCATTTTCTCCGCTCTCCGGGATGTCGCCGGTGATCGGAGCTGACGCGCCGCTGCTCCAGAGGAGAGACACGCCGGCGGAGAGAAGGCTGGTGATATGCCGGGCGGTGTTTAACGTGTCGACGAGCATCATCGGCGCCGGAATCATGTCCGTTCCGGCTACCCTGAAGGTGCTCGGCGTGATTCCGGCGTTCGTTTTGACGGTGGTCGTGGCCGTGCTGGTGGATGTTTCCGTTGATTTCCTGCTCAGGTTCACGCACGCCGGCAGCGCGTCGACTTACGCCGGTCTGATGAAGGAGAACTTCGGAAAGATTGGCTCTGTGGCTCTGCAAATTTGTATTATGATTACTAATCTTGGTTGCTTAATTATGTACCTCATTATCATCGGTAAGCACCATCGGATTATTACTAATCTTGGTTATATACATAGTTTCTTTCCAACTTCAATTTCAATTCAACTTCTATTATATAAGCCCAGAAAGTACACTACTGGAAATTATGGAATTTCTAACCACCTGGAAGTCATCTTATATCAAGTCCAAAGTAAAAAGTGATCGAAAATAGCAACAAAAGTTTTTCCAGATATCATAAATGGTTGGAACAAGATTTTCAACTTGATTTAAAATCACTTTCAGGTGGTTGAAAATTCTATAATTTAAGATCACTTTGTGGTTGGAAATTCTATAATTTTCAGCAAATTATGAAATTTCTGACCACCTGAACTTGATCTTAAATCAAGTCGAAAGTAAAAAGTGATCAAAAATAGCAAAAAAAGTTTCTCCTGATACCAAAAAATGATCAGAACAAAGGCTTTCAACTTGATTTAAGATAACTTTTAGGTGGTCGGAAATTCTATAATTTTCAGTAAATTATAGAATTTGTGACCACCTAAAAGTGATCTTAAATCAAGTTGAAAGTAAAAAGTGATTGGAAATAGCAACAAAAGTTTTTCCGAATACCAAAAATGGTCGTAACAGATTTAAGATCATTTTCAGGTAGTCAGAAATTTCATAATTTTCAGTCGTGTGAAACAAGTCTAACAATCTGATCAATTTGGCTGTTGAATGTGTGGCAGGGGATGTTCTATGTGGAAATGGTACAGAACACATGGGCATTTTGCAAGAATGGTTTGGCATTCACTGGTGGAACTCGCGATCTTTCTCCATCTTTTTGGTCGTCATCTTCGTCATGCTTCCTCTGGTTTTGTACCGCCGCGTAGGTCAGTATTATTATATGACGACAACCTTAAAAAACATCGATGATGTTTTTCTTCTGCCCATTGAGATCATCATCGAATGTTGTTGTTGCAGAGTCATTGTGGTGGAGTTCCGCTATAGCAGTGCTCCTAGCAGTTGTGTTTGTCGGAATATGTATAGCGATGGCGATCTACGCCCTCATTAATGGCGAAACCGAGACGCCAAGAATGCTCCCAGAACTGGATGGCAGCGCTTCCTTCTTCCAGCTTTTCACAGCTGTTCCTGTCATTGTTACAGCCTTCACATTTCACTTCAATGGTAAATCTTTCACCCAATCATCGTACTCTCCTTTAGTACTATGTCATCATATAATTAACTATCAGTTTAGACTTTTAGTACATATAATTCAATTGTTCAAAAATTGTATGTGCAGCTTCATCTCAAGTAAAACGAACATTGTAGCTCATTTATCAACTTAAACTCTTAGTTAAAGACAAAACACATCATTCAATTTGTTAAAAAATTGTATGTACAATTCATCCCTAGTAAAATTGACATTTTATAGTCCAAGTATAAGTTTAGAATTTTAGCTGACACAAAACACGTCATTTAATTCGTTCAGCAGTTCATCCTAACTAAAACTAACATTATATAATCTAATTATCAGTTTAGACTTTTTAGCTATGACACGTCGTTCAAAAACTTGTATGTACAAATCATCCTAAGAAAAACTAGTATTTTGTAATCCAACTATCAAGTTAAACTATTAGTTGAGACAGAACACGTTGTTCAATTGCTCAAAACTTGTATGTACAATTTATCATAAATAAAACTGACATTTTGTAGTCCAACTATCAGTTTAGACTGATAGAACACGTCATTCAATTCGTTTTAAATTTGTATGTGCAATTCATTTTAAGAAAAATTAGCATTCTGTAGTCCAACTATCAACTTAGACTAATAGCAGCTGAGACAGAACACGTCATTCAATTATTCAAAACTTGTATGTACAGTTCAACCTATGTAAAACTGACATTCTGTGATCTAAGTCATCTAGCTACCCGCTTAGACTTTTAATTTAGAGATTACACATCATTTATTTCCTTCAAAAATTATATTTGCAGTTCATCCTATTGGAATTGAGATAGGGAAACCTTCTGTCATGGCTTCTGCTGTCAAGATCTCACTAGTACTCTGTGCTGGCCTGTATTTCATGATTGGGATCTTCGGGTACCTTCTGTTTGGAGAATCAATCAATGCAGACATCCTCGTTAACTTCGACCAGACATCCTCAGGTTCCGCGATCAGTTCACTGCTGAACGATGTTGTCCGGTTGAGCTACGCGCTGCATCTGGTGCTGGTGTTTCCATTGCTGAACTTCTCGTTGAGGGCCAACATTGATGAACTCTTGTTCTCCAAGAAGCCTCCTTTGGCCAAAGACACAACCAGATTCGTGTGGCTTTCGCTGTTCTTGTTAGCCGTTTCTTATGTTGCTGCTATGCTTATTCCTAGTATCTGGTACATTTTCCAGTTCATGGGATCAACCGCTGCGGTCTGTCTCGCCTTCATCTTCCCCGGCGCCATTGCTATAAGGTACTCCTCAACTTCTTTTTTGAGTGAAGAGGGAAACTCGCAACCAGTACGGGAAAGTGTTTACTGGGTTGGTTAAAACAACATAGGTTGTTCATAGCTGAACCTAGCCTTCTAACCCATCAACATAGGTTATTTATAATTGACTGACTAAATAAAAAAGGTTGTAAAAATTAGTGTTGTAAAAATCGGTCTAGACGGCTGCCTAGGCCTACACTATTTCAGCTAGGCAGCTTTTAGTCGGCTGACCGACTAATCGGTTGACTATGCGCCGACAGGGTCGAGTTGAGTGCCTAACTCGGCCGAGTCGGAAGCCTAACACGGCCGAGTCGGAAGCCTAATTCGGTCATGTTGGCGCTCAACTCGGTCGAGTGATTTTTTTTGCCTACTCGGCTACTCCTCTTCTATATTTCTCCAGTTATGGACTCAACTAACTATCTAACATATGCAGTTGACTAGTTTGGGGGATTATAACAGTTTAACAACTCGAGTGAGAAAAAAAGGAAATAATATACTTGGATTATTAGGCGGCCTAGGCACTAGGCTCCCCCGGACGCCCAACTAGCGTCTAGCGCCTTCTGCAACATTAGTTAAAACAACATAGGTTGTTCATAGCTGAACCCAACCTTCTGATCCTGGTTAGATGTTAAATCAACATAAGTTGTTCATAACTGATTGACTCAAACCAAGAAGATCAATATTTCACTTCATTGGGAGTCGAATTTAAAACCTTGTAGTTACCAAATCAATTCAATAACGTAATTGAACAATTTAGTTGGGATTGTCCCAATGGACCCTGTATTCCTTGTGGTATTCCTCAACTTCGTTTTAACTAAAAGTTTATGATTAGTTTGCCTTGGCTTACCTTATTTTTGTCTAATTGGCAGAGACATCCATGGAATATCTACTAGGAAGGACAAGATTATAGCGGCAATCATGATCGTTCAAGCGATCATAACTAGCTGTATAGCTATTTACTCCAATGTATACAACTTCATTATTAGTGGAACCAGTTCGTAGTTTCATTGTTTATCCAAGAAATGAATTTGCATTCATACATGGTTCTATACTTGTATGTATTTGTGTTGTACGAGTTATTGTTTGGGTAGTTGCAAGATTTTTTGGAAAGTCTTGGACTATGAAACTTTGTTGTAAAATGGCCCTATTAGCTTAGCCTTTTGATTTTTTATAGATAAGATATTCAAAATGTTGTGAGTTAAATGAGTGCATGGGTAGATTATACTTTGGGTCTGTATCGTTCACTATCTAGAAATGAGAATCAAAATCACAGTTATTGTTTGATTGATAATTTTTTAAAACATAATTATGGATTCGATTATCTTTTTAATTAAAACCCCCATTTTTTGATTAAAAATAGGTATAATTTCATCTTATTCATCCTCATTTGTCGCCTACCAATCTATCGCCTCCTCACTACATCCCTTGACGGTTCATCACCATTCACTTTGTATTGGTGTTTTGGATGTCAATAAATTAGGATCCATTGCCTTAATTTTTTATTGAGTTAATACCCAAAATCGTCCTCGACTATACTGGTTTTTCTCAATTTCGTCCTAAACGACTTTGGTGACCTAATATCGTCCCAGACTTTTGTGTTTTGCTCAATTTAGTCCCAGACTTTTGTGTTTTTGCTCAATTTAGTCCCTCATTTGTTATTCTGTCCATTTGGTGTTAAATAAATAGACAATTCAGTCATTTTAATATTGGCATCTCTTTACTCATAGACATGTGAACTGCGAAATCCTTTTTTTTTTTACGAATTACTCCCAGAATTACTCCTAAAACTACGAATATAAAATTTGATTTGCAGGTACGGGAGTAATTCTGGGTGTAATTCGTACAAGAAAGAGGAATTTCGCACTTCACAAGTTGAAAGTAAAGAGAGATCAATATTGACATTACTGAATTGTCCCTTTATTTAACACCAATTTGACGAAATAACAAATGGAGGACTAAATTGAGCGAAACACAAAAGTCTGGGACGATATTAGGTCGCCAAAGTCGTTTAGGACGAAATTGAAAAAAACCACTATAGTTGAGGACGATTTTGGGTATTAACTCATTTTTTATTTTTATTTGTTTTTTAAAAACCCTTATTCGCATTATAGGGTTATATATAACCAAACATCAATATTAGTAATCATTCCAATTTCACCTTACCACCAAACATGCAAAATATTTTCACCAAAACTCATTACCATTAGTATGTATTTGATTCCCATTCTGATTTTGATACTCATATGCGAACCAAACACACCCTATGTATAGCTCTAGATTGGGTATGAGAATGAAATATAAACTCACATATACATAAATGTTAGACTTACTAGGGGATTATGTTTGTCGAAACTGCTAGGCATCCTCGTCCAATAATACATATTAAGGATATGTTTGGTTCATAGGTTTACACACCATAAATAAAAATCAAAATCATAGTTGTTGAATATGGTACTAGGGCCATAAGAGTAAGATCCAAAATATATGATAGCCCAGTTCGTATACACAACGCAGTCAGAATTACAGCTCAATCAATATTATTATCGAATAAAATATTATTATATTCATTGAATTATTGATATAATATTATATTTTCAAAGGTTAAATGTTCCTTGGAGAATATTATATTCCTGAAGGGTCAAGTCCCACACCTATATAAAAGACTCTAACCAATTAAGGCATAGCTTCTATCATCAGATTCTATTTTTTCATTTTTCCTTCATTCTTTCCATTTTTCTTCAATATAATTATTAATCATTTCATACGTACGATAGTGTTGGTTTGCTATTGACTACCCCGTGGTCATAAAACCAACAATAGTTATTGTTTGATTGACAACTTTTTAAAACACAATTATGTGATTTGATTATCCATCCAATTAAAAATCTCATTTACTAATTAAAAACATGTATCATTTCATCTTATCCCTTCTCATATGTCACCTCCTAATTTGTCGCCCTCTCACTACATCCCTCAAATTTTTGTTTTGATGTTTTGTTCATATTGGTGCTTTGAATATCATTATATTATGACTATACATAAACCAAATAGCAACAGTGGTAATCATTTCAATTCTACTCTACTACCAAACATGCAAAATACTTTCGCCAAAATTCATTACCATTACCAAGTATTTAATTCTCATTCTGATTCCGATTACCATGTGCGAACCAAACACACCCTGAGTATTATTTTTATTATTATTTAGGAACTAGTAAATTATCCAGCGATGCACAAATAAATTTTTTATTATATATTTAAATAATAAAATTAATGATAAAATTATAAACAATTATAATATTTGAAATTGTACATTTATTTGAAATTATAAGATTTATTGTATATTAGTTTTGAAATTGATTACTTAAAAATTATATTAGTAAAAGTCTAAACAAAAAATAGAAGGAAGAGCATGGCTAATTGATATTATTTTAAGTAACAAAAATGTACTATAATCAAATGAAGGGAATTTCTATGTTTAATTACCATAGTAAAATTAAAGTGTTAAATATAGGTTGGTAATATTAACATAATATGTGTATGTTTAATTTCCTTTAATTATGGACGTAAGATGTGTATGTTTATTTCTTTTAGGGAAAATTGCACTTTTTCCCCCTGTGTTATAGGCTTATAGCACTTTTTTCCCCTGAGTTATTCATGTATTCACATTTGTCCCCTCAATTATTATAGAAGTGACGGTTTTCCCCCCTGATAATATTAAATGGACATTTCTACCCTTAAAACAAATATTTTATTTATTTCTCTTCTTCACCAAATTATTGCTTATACGTAGGGATGACCACGGTTCGGTTCGAACTGAACCAAACACTATAGCAATCAAATTAAAAAATTTCGGTTATGATTCATAACATAACCCAATATTTGGGTTTCCGTTTATTAAAATCGTGAACTGGAAAAAAATGGATCCTAAACCGTGAACCGGAGGTTCAAATCGGAACAACTACTAGCAATAGCTTAAATTAGAATTATAATATTTGTAAATAGTGCATGTTTTTTTCCGCATTTATATTGACTCTCACATATAAGTATATATAATCGCGATTTGAGTTTTATTTTGAACCGTCGGTTCACGATTTCGGATCCAATTTGAACGGTTGGTTCAAACTTTCTTTTAATTTTTTTTTTTATTTTTAAAATATTATAAATTTAACACTTAATGTATTTTATTTTTTCAAATCGTGGTTATAATTTGTTGGAGAAGGAAAATAAATGAAATATTTATTTTAAGGGTAAATATGTCCATTTAATATATCAGGGGGAAAAACTGCCACTTAAATAATTTAGGGGGAAAAAGTGCTATAAGTATATAACAAAGGGGGAAAAAGTGCCATTTTCCCTTTCTTTTAATTACCCACCATAATATGTGTGTGTTTAATTTTCTATATGTGCAGTAAAATTTATCATGAATTCCAATCAAAAGTAGATCAATTTATTATGATTACTCTATGGTAATTAAGGAGTATATGTTATTCTTAATTAATATTGGGATTAATATTTGATATCGGTGTATAGATGCTCTATACACCGGCGATGAAGGAGAAGATGCCATCATTAAATAAAAAAGTCAATATTAGTTGAGTCCTTTTTTTTTTTGCAATATTTAAGACTTGTATTTTATTAGGAAACTCTTTATTTCTAACTAATAAAATATATCTACTTTCCTAAACATATTTATTATTTAATTATTATCTATCTATTTTCATTGCATTTTTAATTATTAGATACATTATTAATTAAATTGACAAATAATGATTATTTTATATTAAATATATATTAATCACACATAGTGTGAATGAACTAATGAAGTATATAGTGTTCCCAAACATTAATCACCCTACTACATTGACGTCTTGTAATTATTTTTTTTTTAATTTTATTTAATTACTAAACCATTTGAAAATAAAACACTTATAAAACTATTTTAATTTTTATTAATCAATGAACATTGAACGCATTTCTTAATCTATGGACATTATGAATGTTTTTCTTAATCTAGATCAAAAACATCAATTTTAATCTATAAATATTATGAACGTATTTTTTGATCTAGATTAAAATTGATATTTTTGATACGTAGTATTATTTTAAATGTTGTACTAAATAAATAAAACAACACCACCAAACCAGCATTTATTTTGGATACACTTTGATGTTCTGCCTCGGTTTGGGGATACTCTGTGGTGCGGTTGGGTACCTGGGATCTAATTTGTTTGTGCGGAGGATTTACAAGAACATTAAATGTGACTAAAGATTCTGCAGTGCACACGATGGGGGTTGTGGTTGGGCAACTGTGAACCATTAAGTTTTACTTACCACAAGATCAGGTCTATATACTACTCTCGAGCTTAAAATGCCCAAGACAATGATGGTATTAGTTATCCCGCTTTTAGTAAGAGGGTGAATGGACATTGTAGATTAGATACCGAGAATGTTTTGATGTCAGAATAATCAATCGTTTCGACATTATATTCCTGTAAACCAAAATGGACCATTTTAACTTGTTTTGGACTCAATTTTGAATTGATATATCATTGGTATCAAAAAAAAAAAAAAAAAAAAGAAACACCGTTTGTCAATTTAATTAATAATGTATTTAATAATTAAAAATGCAATAGAAATTAGATAGATAATAATTAAGTAATCCTGATGTGTTATGAACGATGAGTGAAACGCTCCCAAGCCAACGGTCGACGGAGGATTCCGATCTTCTGGAGAGAAGCACCAAGAAACCGAAACGCGCCGACGAAGGGATGGCACACCTGGGGATGGGTGTGCTGGGAGATCATACACTGCACGAAGACGTGGAAATGGTGAACGAGACACACCTAGGAGAAATGGCGAACGATCGTGAGGGCTCGCCTGTGCATGAATCGGAAGAGACGGCTTCAGAAGCACCAGCCTGCCTGCATGCATCGACGGAGGTGATCCATTCACATCGTAGATCCTACGCAGATAGTGTGACAGGCCAGAACTCCGAGGGAGGAGGCACATTGGAGGGAGGATCGGCAGAGGAGGCTGATGAGATCTCGGATGATGAAGATGATGATCCTTTATGCCCTACGATCAGGTTGACGAAAGCGGAGGTGGCAACAATCCGGGCACCATGGCGGAAGGCTCTCATTATCAAGGTAATGGGTAGGAAATTGAGATATGCATATCTGTTGAGGAGGCTATCCTCCATGTGGAAACCGAAAGGTAGCCTGGATCTAATTGCCATTGACAATGATTACTTTCTAGTACGTTTGGTTCAGTGGAGGATCTTGAATTTGCTATGTTTGAGGGGCTTTGGATGGTTTTGGATCACTACTTGATAGTGAAGCCTTGGGTCCCTGATTTCGATCCTTACTCAGATACCACAGAAAAAGTGTTGGTGTGGGCAAGGATCCCATGCTTTCCAGTGGAGTATTACATCTATATTTTCCTTAGGAAACTAGGGAACAAGGTGGGCAGAACGATCCGAGTAGATCAGGCAACAAGTCTGGTTTCGAGAGGGATGTTTGCGCGTATATGTGTGGAAGTGGATATTACTAAGCCGCTCATTTCAAAATTCAAATATGAAGACAAGGTGAGGTCAGTCGCCTACGAAGGCATTCACATGATCTATTTTTCTTGTGGCATCTACGGCCATGCAGCTGATAGCTGCCCATCGAAGGCTAGAGAAAAGGCGACAGAGGAGAGCTTACCAGAGGGGAACGCACAAGGGCAGACCACCGGGGTGGAACATGCTGGCAATGGGAACCAGGGCATCAATATTGGTTCTGAACCTTTTGGCATTTGGATGATAGCTCCGAGACGTAAGCAGAGGGCTAGACCCAAGCAACAAGCAAGCAACATGGGAGCAGCAGGAGAACGAAGAGTGAGAGGCAGTGTGCGGAGAACGAATGGAATCCAGGCGTCACGTTTTGCCCCTCTAAATAATCGAGAGGAGGATGGCGGAGATCAGGAAGAGGGTGAGCCAAATAAAGAGCCTGAACTAGGAGGAGTTGCGGAGCAGAGTGTGTCACAGCAGGAGGGAGAAAGGGGCACAGATGCCCAGTGAGAGCGTCTCTTTTGTGGTCCAAGAATTCCTGTTTTGTGTTTTGTGCTCTTGCTCTGTCCCTTTTCTTTTCGTTTTTAATGATTTGTTTGCTTTGGAATTTCCAAGGGGCGAGTGAGAAGTCATTCCACCGCGCCCTCAGTAACCTTTTAAAGGCCATAAGCCAAACATTTTAGGGCTCTTTGAACCTAAAGTCTCAGGGACCCAGGCTAACAAAATTTGTAACAAGCTCGGGTTTTCTGATTGGGTCTGCGTGGAAGCAATCGGCATCAGCGGAGGTATCTGGGTCTTTTAGAAGAACCCAGTGCAGGTAAATATTATCTACACTCACCCCCAATTTATTCTTTTGCAGGTGGAGAAACCGGGACAAGGCCCTTGGTTTTTCTCCCCGATTTACGGAAGCCTGACACACCACTTCCGGCGCCGCCTGTGGAACGACCTCAGACAGTCTAATAGAGCCATCTCAAGTCCACGGCTGGTGGCGGGAGATTTTAACTCAGTCGTACAACGGGAGGAAACAAGAAATTATAGTTCGTTCTCAATGCAAAGAAGCTCAGACTTTGTTAACTGGATCCAAGAGGAAGGACTTATAGACCTGGGCTTCTCAGGGCCAAGTCTCACCTGGGTAAAGGATGGTTCAGATAACGATTTCAAAGGGGCCCGCCTAGACCGAGCTCTATGCAATACGGAGTGGTGTACTAGCTTTCCAGATGCCAGCGTATCCCACCTCCCCAGAATAGCTTCTGATCAGGCTCCTGTTCTGATTCATACCGAAAAGGATAGGAGGAGGTCATGTCCACCACGTTTCATGTATCAAGCAGCTTGGCCCACACACTCAGATTTCCTTAATGTGGCCCGGAGAGAATGGATGGCAACCCGTGAGATCCCGAATAACATGTCAAACCTAGCTGGGAAACTGGCGGACTGGAATAAAGCACATTTCGGGAATATTTTTATCAGGAAGAAGATCTTGCTAGCCAGGCTAGGAGGCATCCAAAGTCGGCTGGCAATCTCCTTCCACAGAGGGCTGGCTAAGCTAGAGAGGAAGTTGAGGGCAGAGTTTGAAAAAACCCTCCACAGGAAGAATTATTATGGTACCAAAAGTCCAGGGAAGACTGGATTGCTTCATGAGACAGAAATACTACTTATTACCACGCGGCGGCAACAATTCGCAAATCAAGGAACAGTGTGACGAGATTGCAGGATAATAATGGCAACTGGATTACAGACGAGAACATGCTGAAGACTCATGTACACGATTATTACTACCAGCTTTTTGCAAGTGATGAGACTAGGCAGTCCAGTTCGGATCTTGAAGCAACTTTCCCCAGATTGACAAGTTTGGATTGGCGCAAGTTTAACGGTCCTATCACGAAGGAGGAAGTCCATCGAGCTCTGGAAAGTATGAAACCGTATAAAGCCCTGGGACCAGATGGCTTTCCAGCTGCTTTTTATCAACACACGTGGGAGATAACAGGAGAAAGCGTTTTCCATATGGTTCAGAAAGCAATCGCATCTGGAAGCCTCCCTGAAGGGCTTAATGACACACTCATTGTTTTAATCCCCAAAGTCGCGAGCCCAGAGAATATTAAACAGTTCAGGCCTATTAGCCTCTGCAACGTGAGCTACAAGCTCATAACGAAGACAATCACGAACAGGCTAAAGCACGTACTACTTACCCTGGTTGGCCCGTTTCAAATTTCTTTCGTTCCAGGTCGTCAGATTACAGACAACATTATCATTTATCAGGAAGTGATGCATTCAATGCGGGAAAAGAGGTGCACCGTCGGTCACATGGTGATCAAGCTCGACCTAAAGAAGGCGTACGACCGCTTATCTTGGGATTTTATACAAGATACTCTGGTGCATGCGGGTTTCAACGAATGCTGGACGAGGATCATTATGAATTGCATCAGAACATCTAAGTTTTCTATTGCTTGGAATGGTGACGTGACCGCTTCTTTTAGCCCGGGTAGGGGTATTCGTCAAGGGGATGCTATGTCCCCCGCTATCTTTGTCCTATGCATGGAGCGTCTTAGCCAGGCTATCGTCAAGGAAATCGAGAGTAAGAAATGGAAAGGTATCAAGTTTGATAGTAATGGCCCAATGTTGTCTCACCTTTGTTTTGCAGATGACATGGTTCTTTTTTCGGAGGCATCCCTCGACCAAGTGGAAGTGATTCAGACATGCCTCGAGAATTTTTGTAAAGCGTCAGGGCAAAAGATCAGCCTCGACAAATCAAGCATCCACTTCTCGCGCAATACAGATAACACGCTAGCGACTACGATTGCTAACCAGATTGGTATTGAGGCCACAAACGACCTTAGGCGGTATTTAGGTGTCCCGTCTCTTCATGGTCGAATTACATGTAACACTTTTTCTGGTCTGCTGGACAGGATTTCGACGCGGTTAGAAGGTTGGAAAGCCAAAACACTTACCACGGCAGGGAGAGTAGTGCTAGCAAAGTCGGTGCTGAATGCCATCCCGGCTTACACAATGCTGACAATGTGTTTGCCTAAGAGCCTGTGCTTGGAGATGGAAAAACGAACCAGGAAATTTATTTGGGGCACGTCGGCTACAGGTGGTAACAAGATAAGTTTGACCAATTGGGAAGTGGTTACAACACCCAAGAAAATGGAGGGCCTTGGGCTACGAAAGCTCCATGAATTGAACTTGGCCTACATGATCAAACTAGGGTGGAGGTTGAAATCCGAAGCCCAGAGCTTGTGGGTGCGTACTTTTTTTTTTGATGTAAAACACAATGTGGTCCGGGTCTTTTTCTGTCTGTTTAACGGTCCAGGTCCACCCACAATGTGGGTGCGTACTTTGATAGCGAAATACAACACCTTTGGAGACTTGCAGGTTTCCAGTGGGCAAAGGAGAAAGACATCAACAGTGTGGAAGGGAATCAACGAAGCTTGGCCTTACCTGGAAGAAGGACTTATCAAAGTGGTTCACAATGGGAAATCCACAAGATTTTGGATGGACAAGTGGTTATCTTTGAAGCCTCTGTATGACCAGTTGCGCAGCCCCTTTAGCCTCCCAGAACTATACTCTAACGTCGAAGATTACTGGGATTGCCGTCGAGGCTGGAAGTGGGAGAGGTTGGAACATTTGTTGCCGCGGGACGCGATGGAACAACTAGCAGGATTCGTGCTGGCGGAGGAAGGTGTGGAAGACAAGCTGGGGTGGGGTCTTGATGCGAAAGGCCAATTCTCGGTGAAATCAGCGTACGACACGATCGTTAAGCCAATAGTGACCCGGCCAGACAGAGAATGGGGCAGAATTTGGAAGTTGCGGTTGCTGGGGAAAATATGTTTTTTCTTGTGGCTAGTGAAACAAGAACGAATTCTCACGAATATAGAACGTGGAGGAGGAGGCTGGCAGTTGACGTTACTTGTTTTTGTTGTGCAGGTATCCCGGAAGATCAAAACCATATGTTCAGGACGTGCAGAGCCGCGATAGAAATTTGGGAGGCGGCGCTTCCACGAAGAACTGTGGCTTATCTACGTACCTTAAGCTGGCAAGAGTGGCTGTCCACGAACTTGCGGGGAGACGTTAAGCGTGGCTTCGATGTGGGATGGCTAGAGCAGTTTGGCATCAGGCTCTGGTGGCTCTGGAAGTGGCGGAATGATGAAGTTTTCAGACATGTTTCCGTACCAATGAACAGGAATGTCGAATGACTTTCAAACTACGAGGTGGAAGTAAAGGCGACTTTTGACAAGTGCAGGAACAAAGGGGTACTAATCCCACGAAGTTCTGTGACTAAAGTATGGGAGAGAGCCGCGGTGGGATGGATGAAAGTAAACGTGGATGGGTGCAGGAAGAACAACAGCACGTCGGGTTGTGGAGGAATAATGAGAAATGCCAATAGTGATTGGAAAGGAGGCTTTACTCACAACATAGGAGGTGCCAAGCGGAAGAAGCGGAAGCCTGGGCTGTGTTACAAGGCATAAGGCTCGCGAGAGATGCTGGAGTGCGAAAGTTGGTGGTGGAAAGTGACGCCTTGAATATTGTTAATATCTTGAAAAGAGATGAAGGTCATACGAACAACATTACGCGCCGTTGCAAACGTGAAGCCGGGAGGCTGGAAGAGGTTACTTATATGCATGTTAGCAGAGATAAGAATGCTATAGCGGATAAGCTCACCACAATGGCCTTGTCGCACCAACTAGGTGTCAGTATACTAAATGAGCCGCCGCTTGAGATCCGGGAAGCTGTCCAGCAAGAACGTCTTGGGGCCAGGTCCTCTAGTGACCACTTCATGCAATGATGAAGTTAGTTTAGTTGGGTACCACCCTCATTCTGGATAAAAAAAAAAAGATAATAATTAAGTAATAAATATGTTTAGAAGAATACATATATTTTGTTAGTTAGAAATAAAGACTTTACTAATAAAATACAAGTCTTAAATATTGCAAAAAATGACCTAATCAATATTGACTTTTTAATTTAATGATGTGGCATCTTCTCATTAATCGCCGGTGTATAGCATCTATAATCAAATGAAGGGAATTTCTATGTTTAATTACTATAGTAAAATTACAACACGTTTGGTTCACGGAATGAATTTTGAGGTAATAGGAATGCTATTCCATAAGGAATGGAATAGGCAAGGAATAGAATAGGAATTGTATTCTATTATTTGGTTCGCGGAAGGAATAGACTTTAAGAATTATATTACAGTTTTTGGTTGATTTAAGGAATAGAAATGAAATATCTTTTAAAAGACATAAATACCCTTATAAAATATGTGATGGTGGCGGTGGTGGTGGCGATGGTGGTGGCGGTGGTGGTGATGGTGGTAGTGGAGGTGGTGGTGGTGGTGCTGGGGTGGTAGTGGTGGTGGTGGCGGTGGCAGTGGTGGGGGCGACGGTTGTGGCAGTGGTGGTGGTGGTGGCGGTGCTGCTGCTGGGTGGTGGTTCTGGTGGCGGCGGCGGCGATGGTGGTGGTGGTGCTAGGGTGGTAGTGGTGGTGGTGGCGGTGGCAGTGGTGGGGGCGGCGGTGGTGGTGGGGGTGGCGACGGTTGTGGCGATGGTGGTGGTGGTGGTGGTGGCGGCGGCGGCGGTGATGGTGGTGGTGGCGACGACTTATATATAGGATAAAAAAATTAGGTTAAAGAAAGGGGTAAAAAAGAAAATAGATTCTAAAATCTATTCCTAGGTGTTATAAAGAATCGAATTGAAAGTCATTTAAGTATTATTGACCATGTGACATAGGATATGTGAGCTCGGCTCGAGCTCGATTTTAAACTAGTTCAAGCCGAACTTTGACCGAGCCGCTTGCGAGCGGCTCGGCTCATTTACACCCCTAGTTTAGTAAACATGTTCAACAATATTGTCGATTTTAATGGTGTTTGTTTACTTTGGTGAATCCATTGACCTTGTTGATCAGTCCACTTAGTTTAATTTAATTTCTAGTAGGGTTGGTTAGTCGGGTTATTAATTTTCCACTTTTCTAAAAAGTTGGAAAATTATTTAAAATTGTTTTCTAAATAGAAAACATGTTCATATACTTTCGCCTCAAACTCACAACCTTTCAAATGGAAATCTAACTTGAATATCATTAAACCACATAGTCTTGGTTCTTATTTAAACATAACTTATTTGTTTATGCTTAAAGTTAGGCATCATTTACATTATCAAAATTTAAAATTAAACTCTATATTAAGTTTTATATTTTGATTGTTGGTTTGAATATTTTTAGTTATGTTATATTGTAATACAAGTTTGGTCTGGATATATGATAGTGAAATTTCACATATATTACTATATTAGAATTCAAAGTAAAAATTTTATATTTATATACATGTCATTCAGATGAATATATCCAAAATATTTTACATATTAGCTTTAAAAATATTAACATTATCTAAACTAAATTTTAGGTGAACTTAATATGTTATTGGTTCGGATATATTATTAGTTATGTTATATACAAATATAAATTTGGTTCATATATATATATTGGGCTTAAATATAAAAATTATATTTATTCTATTTAACCCAAATATATTTTCAATATAAAATCTGAAAATCACTCGAAATAAAATTTGTGTTAATTTTATAACGTTAATCTAAAAAATATAAAACAGTTTCCATTAATAAACGGGATTATATATCTGGACTATTGAGTGAAGTAGCGAACAGTAACTCAGTAAGTGGATAACGATGTAATATGTCTTCCACCATAATCGCTTGTAATTTCGTGTGCGTTGTTATGCGTGATGTGACACTGTGACAATCGGTACGTTTAGAAAAACAAAATTAAATATTTGCAACTACTTTTATTTTTATATAATATAATTTACGTAAAAAATTCGACTGATCCAAACGTGCCAAAATTAAATAATAATGGCTAAGGCTCCCACGCCTCAATTATTTGATGGGTCAATATATAATCATGGAGGTTGAGGACACCAAACTTCAAGATAGACCAGGAAAAGTGGGAAGCCATATTCTCCGTTCTCCGGGATGTCGCCGGTGATCGGAGCCGACGTCCCTCTGCTCCAGAGGAGAGACACGCCGACGGAGAGAAGGCTACTGATATGCCGGGCGGTGTTCAACGTGTCGACGACTATCGTCGGTGCCGGAATCATGTCCATTCCGGCTACCCTCAAGGTACTCGGCGTGATTCCGGCGTTCGTTTTGACGGTGATCGTGGCCGTGTTGGTGGATGTATCCGTAGATTTCCTGCTCAGGTTCACGCACGCCGGCAGCGCGTCGACTTACGCCGGTTTGATGAAGGAGAACTTCGGAAAGATTGGCTCTGTGGCTCTGCAAATTTGTATTCTGATTACTAATCTCGGTTGCTTAATCATGTACCTCATTATCATCGGTAAGCATCAAAACTCTAAAATATGAATTCCTTGTTAAATTTATTATCATTTTGATCATTTTTTTTCTTCATAAATTTGAAATAAAATCAAGCTTGAAATGTATCGTCTATTAATTTAAATTTTCGCTCTATTTTTTTAAAAATTTAAAAATATAAGAATAAATGTATTTTCTATGTTTTTATAAAAAAAAAAAAAAGAAGAAGAATTTCTATCGTTCATTTCGGATACTAAGCTGCGGCTTCAGCTTCACCGCCGAAGTGACGACGGCGAGCTCCGTTTCCGATGTCCTGTTGTAAACCGTCTCGAAGTTCTGCAAGACGTATTTGATAAGCTCCATGTGGTCTATGTCCACGAGGATGTTTAGGAAGTTGACCGTGTGCGGCTGGAGTTCAGACGATTTGGCGATCTATCTCGTCAATTACCGTCCGCTTCTTCTCTTAGCTCATGTTAGGGCTAGCGAAGAAATCGAACTCGAATCCTCCGCGAGGATTTTCTCGATCTTCTCCAAGTTGGCCGAGGTTATGTCCGAGTTCCGTTCTACTTGGCGACGTCGCAGAGCGCGGTGCGGTAGCTTTCGATAGGGAGAAGGCACCAAGCGCCGCCGCCGCTGCCGCGGCTGGAGCGTTTTGAGGTCTAGGGAGAAGGCTAGCTTCGCCGTCGGTGAGACGATGATTTGAATCGACGGTAGTGAGCGCCGACCAGATATTTAAATTAAATTTAGAGTGATTCTACTTTTGCTCCTTCGGTTATAGTGCTAATTTCAAATTATCTGATTTCGATCTGACTTCTATTATTTGACTTTAATAATTAGCTTTAATGTTTGTTTGAACATCTTCTAGAGACTAGATACTATAGATTAATGCTTGGTTCCTGATCATTTTGAGCATGAATCCTTTGATTTTAGAAATCAAAAAAGAACATCCATGCTTGAGAATGATGAAGTGGAACAGTGACAATTCACTTATATTTGATTACAGATGGTGACTAATGTTATGCATCTCTTATCGCCAAGGGATTGTTGGGAGGAAATCATTAAGTTTTGAGGATTGATTTGTGATGAAATGTTTGTGTTACATGATGGCAGGGGATGTTCTCTGTGGAAATGGCTCAGAACACATGGGCATTTTGCAAGAATGGTTTGGCATTCACTGGTGGAACTCACGAGCTTTCTCCATCTTTTTGGTTGTAATCTTTGTTATGCTTCCTCTCGTTTGTTACCGCCGTGTAGGTCAGTCTGTGACTACTACCTTAAATATGTTTAGTTTAGATGACTCGAAATAAATCACTATGTTGTTGATTTGCTCATTGAGGTCTATGGTATGTGGTTGCAGAGTCATTATGGTGGAGTTCAGCCATAGCAGTACTCCTAGCAGTTGTGTTTGTTGGAATATGCATAGGGATGGCAATCTATGCCCTCGTTAAGGGTAAAACCGAGACCCCGAGAATGCTGCCCGAATTGGATGGCAGTGCTTCTTCCTTCATCCAACTTTTCACAGCTGTTCCTGTAATTGTTTCAGCCTTCACATTTCACTTCAATGGTAATTATTGTTTCATTTGATCCCCGTATTCTCGTTTAATATTATACTATTATGCCATATTGGGTAAAATAGAACTCCTGTTTTTGTACCGCAGTGTAGGTCAGTATGTGACTACTACCTTAAATACCTTTCCTTCATTGGCGACAGTCGCCAATCACCGGTTTTGGTTGCTGGAACCCTAATTACTGGTTATTACCGGTGGATGACCGGCTATTGAGCCCAGATGCACAAAAATGACAAGTTGATGTGTTTAGTTGTAACTTTTTAAAGTTTAAGGGCTTATTTGACCCTTTTCCCATTGTTATTTCATTCAATCATCGTATTCTCGTTTAGTATTATGCCATCCTAGGTAAAAAAGAACTCCTGTGATATTTTTATTGACATTCAGAACTTGTATGTGCAGTTCATCCTATTGGAATTGAGTTAGGCAAACCTTCTACCATGGCAACTGCTGTGAAGATTTCACTAGTACTTTGTGCCGGTCTCTATTTCATGATTGGGATTTTCGGATACCTTCTGTTCGGGGAATCAATCAATGCTGATATCCTTGTGAACTTCGATCAGTCTTCATCTAGTTCCGCGGTTAGTGCATTGCTGAATGATGTTGTCCGGCTGAGCTACGCCGTGCACCTGGTGCTCGTGTTCCCATTGTTGAACTACTCGCTGAGGGCCACCATTGATGAACTCTTGTTCCCCAAGAAGCCGGACTTGGCCACGGACAAGATCAGATTCGTGTCTCTGTCTGTGTTCCTGTTAGCCTTGTCCTATGTTGCTGCTATGCTTATTCCTAGCATATGGTACATTTTCCAGTTCATGGGATCAACTTCTGCTGTGTGTCTCGCCTTCATCTTCCCCGGCGCCATTGCTTTAAGGTATTTCTCAAATTCGTTTTAACTAAAAGTTTATGCCTTAGTTGTGTTCTGAGCAGACCCTAACTGTAGGAAACAGTTTAAAAGTTTATGCTTAGTTTGCCTTGGCTTACCTTATTTTCTGCTAATTGACAGAGATATCCATGGAATATCTACTAAAAAGGACAAGATTATAGCGACAATCATGATCGTTCAAGCGATCATAACTAGCTGTTTAGCTATTTACACCAATGTATACAACTTGTTCAGTGGAACCACTTCATAGTTTCCTTGTGTTTCCATGAAAGGAGTGTCTGTGTGTATCTGTTATTGTGTGTGTTCTACAAGGGATTGTTTGGCCAATTGTGAGAGTTTTGGGAAATTTCTTGTAAAAAATATCCCCTTTATTGTTTCAAAGATCATATTGAATAACAATCCGACCTTAGCTCAGTTGGTAGAGCGGAGGACTGTAGTGGGACACTTCCTAAAGACATCCTTAGGTCGCTGGTTCGAATCCGGCAGGTCGGATTTTCATTCTTTTTGTTTTTTTTAAACAGAATTATTATTATTATTTATGTGACTTTTTCCAAATACTCACTTTACATATCAAAGATACTGACTCTGTCTGGTAAAACATTGGCCTATAAGTCAATTTTGACTTATTTGACCAATATTAATTGTTTGATTTAATTAAAATATTAATATTACTAAATAATTATCAACTAACAGCTAATTTACCAATCAGCTAATAGCTAACAATTATCAATCATAAGAACTCAAATAGAGTAATGGGGTGAAGGCGGGAATAATATATTCTTCATCACTGAAATCTCATTATATTCTTCATCACTGAAATCTCATTTCGTTGTTGTGCTTGTCGTTGAAAATATTTCTTTTCTCATTCTCTTTCTTGTCTCCGAGTCAAAAATAAATTTGAATTTATAATTTTCAAATGTTGAACAAAAATTGTCACATTTATTAATTCAATATTTATGATTGCAGTATAAAAATGTGACTTCTTATTCAACAATTTCATACATTTATTTATGTGATTTGCACTTTTGATACATAGTAAAGGGTTCATTTCCAGCCAAGAATATAGATCAAGACCATCACATTCATGTAAATTCACGGAACTGCCTGGCTTACATACAAGATTCTGTAACAAAAGCCTTGTCAGCACTGTCCAAAACTGTAATTTCACATATACGATTTTTTGTATTTTATTTTTCTTGTGTAAGGATTAAAACCAAAGCACTCATGACCCTCCATCAATATCGTTTAGTATTACGAGTAGCGATACAACGAAAGCATAATCGGCGCCAGGATAGACTCTTACTTCAAACTTCTCTATGCCCTTAAAGAAGTAACCTATCTTCACTTTCTCCTTCACCTACATTGTTACAAGGGCTATTAGCCAAGCAGCATATAAACCAAAAAAGGGAAAATACACTATAAAAATGCCAATGAAATATACAACTATATATATATAATCCGTGAGTATTTAAATTATAACTATTTAATTTGTTGCTGAATCTATTGGTACTATGTTGTTTTCTTTTAGTGCAATATGCAATTGAATATGACTTGCATAAGGTTTCATTTAATAATGACTAGTATTAATTCGACGATACTGGTTCAAATGAAGACATGACTTCTCGTGCGGTCGGTGTAAATTGCACTATTAGGTATGCATAAATACACCACACAATGTTCGAGAAAATGAATCAGAATGAAATGCAAAAATGCACCATAAACCAAAAAGAAATGCACTAATACCTAATGATGCATTTTTGAACACTTTGTGGTGTATTTATGCGTACCTAATGGTGCGTGACCGCACGGGGAAGCACTGTCCGCACGAAACCTGACCCTTAGTTTGACGATATATAAATGCTATAAACCAATAATACACCAAGTATTTTTTTTGATTATTTAAAAATGGACTAAATTAGAGACTCATACAATTACCATTCCCTGATGATACACAGATTCCTTTTTAATTCATAAAAATAAATAGTTTTCGTTTCGGGAGCGACTAATAGGGAGTGGTAATTATAAAGTTGAGAATCATATATTCCTTAAAAAATGTATGCTTACCTCGGCAATCAAAGTATCTCCTTTGTAGACTTTGAAGTTCTGAGAAGTGTAGGAGCCCTTAACATGGAAATTACAGATCTCTCCCCTGTTGCCAGCCATGAAAACATCAAGTCTGATTTTCATCTGAAGAACTTTAGATTCTTGAACACTGTATATCACATCATTTTCATCTGAACTCTCTCCTTTGTAAACAGACCACACATTTCTCAGTGCAAGAACCTGCACATTAATTAATCAATTAGCATACTTTTCCCCCAATGAACATCCCATCAACACCCAACGAACATCTAATTCCAAACAGGTGAACATTCTCGGTTAACATTCTATCAAGCATAATGAACATCCAATCAACACACAATGAAGATATAATTCCAAACAGATGAACATTCCCGATTATCATTCAATCAAATGTAATGAGCACTAAATTCTGTGTAGACGAACATTTCATTCCAAACAGATGAAGATTTCCCAATTATCATTCAATCAAATGTGATGAACTCTAAATCCTGAGTAGACGAACATTTAGTTCCAAACGGATGAACATTCCCGATTATCATTCAATCAAATGTGATGAACACTACATTCTGAGTACACGAACATTTAATTCCAAACAGATGAACATTCCGGATTATCATTCAATCAAATGTAATGAGCACTAAATTCTGTGTAGACAAACATTTCATTCCAAACAGATGAACATTTCCCGATTATCATTCAATCAAATGTGATGAACTCTAAATTCTGAGTAGACGAACATTTAGTTCCAAACGGATGAACATTCCCGATGATCATTCAATCAAATATGATGAACACTAAATTCTGAGTAGACGAACAGATGAAATCATTCAATCAAATGTGATGAACTCTGAATTCTGAGTAGACGAACATTTCATTCCAAACAGATGAACATTTCATTCCAAACAGATGAACATTTCCCGATTATCATTCAATCAAATGTGATGAACTCTAAATCCTGAGTAGACGAACATTTAGTTCCAAACGGATGAACATTCCCGATTATCATTCAATCAAATATGATGAACACTAAATTCTGAGTAGACGAACAGATGAAATCAATCAATCAAATGTGATGAACATTAAATTCTGAGTAGACGAGCATTACGACAAGGCTTGATGAACATTGGGAAACAGAGAATCAGTACCTTTGAGCGCATAGTGAGGATCGGGAAGCCGGAGGGATCGGAAATGGTTCGTTTTTTCCGCCGGAACTGCCAGAGCTTCCCGTGGACTCCGAGGAGAGAACCGCCGTTATCATCGGAGACATCGAAGCGCAATCCGGTGACGCCGAGGATCCCCTTCCTGACAGTCAAGTCAACGAGGTAAGGGAAGCAGAAGGCGTCGCCGACGACAGGGATGAGAGGAACATCGTGCCTTATCTCAGGTTTGAACATTGAAAAACGTTTCCAAAAAACGAACTGTTTAAGGTTTAAGGTTCCGTCTAGCAGAAAACTAAGAAAATCATAGCAGAGAATCGAAGGGTTTTTGATTTGATTAAGGGAGAGGCGGAAAAGGGCGTGTAGAATGGAGAAGAGTGATCATCCAAATCTTCAACGAAACTTCATCTTGTCTGTGTGAGGTTTGACTAATTTGAACTCATGGAGCCATATGCAACTTGTATTTCAATATTTATTAATTTATTAATAAATGCACCATCCATCTCATTGGAAAATACCATATCTTCTCACTCTATACTTTCAATTTTTATTTTTATACACAAATTTTTAATATAAATACTCGTATTGAAACTCACATAAAAAATAACTTATCAAGCCCGCTACATCAAAAAGTAAAATTGAAAGAGTAAGATTTGTGAGTACATGTAGTAAAACTATTTCTCATTTTATAATTCTATTACGCTATTTAGATTAATAAATTTTGATTATTTTTAATTTAATTTTCATAATGTTAAATTTAATATTAATATAGAAAATCAATATATTTAAAAATTAAAAATACTATTAAATATAATAAAAATTAAAATTAAAAAATTTAAAAATACAAAAAAAAAAGCAAAAAATAAAGAATTAGTTTGATTAATGAATAATAAATAAGACATGTAAAATAGAACAGAGGGAATACATATTTAATTTCCAAAAATAAATAATTTTATTGGATGATGAAAAAATTTGCAGTTACTATTTGAGAGTGTGGTTATTCGATTTCATTAAGAAAGTAAACCAATCTGAGTTGTTCATAGCTTATCAATTCTTACTAGATTTGGAGTCAAATTTAAAATATTATAATTATTAAATTAATAGTCAAACTAATTAGATTGTAATTCATCACAAATAATAAATATAATTTTTTTGTTCACAATTAAATGAAATAAAAAAATAAAAAGCACACAATTTTTAGCGATAAAGAATTCAAACGCGTGAGATTAGCTAGTGCCGTTTGTTTGGGGAAAAGCCGTGTGAGAATGGCGGTGGGGTTGTGTGTATATTCTAGAGAAAGGAAACATAGTAACGAGGATCTAGGCAAAGATGACATGTTTCAGACGACAAAAAGGTAAATCTTGAATTAGTCAAAATAGATATGCTATCATCTTTTTCTTTTGTCTATCTTTTTCCCTTTAATTATCGTAGACATTTATCTTCTATTTTGTTCGAAAAAGATAGATTCACACAGATAAATTTTTATAATATTGTATGTTATAAGCAATGTGTTTTATAAAGTTATATTTTATGTTTCGTTAACGTAGGTAGGAAAGAATACATTACAATATTATATAAGAGAAATTGTAATTTATGTCCCTCAATACTATGTCAATTATCAATGTCATTTCTGAATTATTAGTGGTGTAAATGTTGTCACTCAATTTTCAAAACGGTACATATATTGTTCCTCCCTAGTGTAAATGTTGCCCTCAATTTTTCTCATGTACGGTATGAGAGGGTAATATATGTACCGTTTTGAAAATTAAGGGGCAATATTTACATCACTAATAATTCAAGAGTGACATTGATAATTGACATATTACGGAGGGACATAAATTACAATTTTTTCTATTATATATTTTGTAAAATTATACCAAATACTTTTTAAGAAACAAATAAGAATATACTTGCAAAACAAAGAGTACTATAGCCCAAATCGTTGCAAATTAAAGAGTATTATAACCCAAATCGTTGCAGCTATTGACGGGGAGGTTGTGTGTTAAATTTTATGGGTGGTTGAGGGTGCTCGGGGAGGGCGGTATCTGGGGCTGTCATCCTTAGTTGGGAGGAATAAGAGGGAGGTCATGGGGTTCATTCGGGATCAGGCTGGTAAGGAGGTACGTAATGATTAAAATTGTCTTGCAGCCTCTTCCACCCTATACCAAAAATGTTTTTCTGCTGCCATAAGAGCTTTGTTGCGAGATTGAA